GGCTCTGTGGCGTCGTGCCTGCCCCGTGGTGGTGGGGGGGAGGAGGGGAGGGGAGAGGGGGGGGAGCAGCAGTGTGGGAGGAGCGTTGCCGGTGGCCGTGCTGGACAGCCATGACTTCGTCAATGGTAGATTACCTGAAACGATATGCCAGCCGTGGTGATGATGACAGCGGAAGAAAAGAGCAGGGGGATATGAAGAAGAAGAAACAGAAGAAGAAGAGGAAAGTGGGGGTAGATACGGGGAATGTGGTCAATACAGCGGCGTCTATACGGGGAATGGTCATTGTTGACGACGATGCGCCATGGCAAAAGGAAGTTAAGGAAGAAGTGAGTGACGTGGAAGATGAAGAGGATGCTCCCCAAGTGGAGAAGGATGAAGAAGTGAGGATCATGGAGAGGCTGAAGGAGGCGAGAGAACGGAGGCCATTGTTGACCATCGGTGGAGACAGAGGTGGGTGGGTAACGGTTGCAGATAAAGCGAGGAGCGAAGGGGCGGAAGCAGCAGCAGCAGCAGCAGCAACAGCAGCAGAAGTGGAACAAGGGTCTTCGCGCCCACAGCAGCAGGAGGGGGGGGAGGACGGTGCTGTTGCACCCTTACCCTCCTCTTCCTCCTTAGGCTCTTCACCTCTGCGGCACAAGGGCAGGCCTTCATCTATGGAGATAACTCGTAGCAGCCCTCAGAAAAGGCCTGGGCAGGCCAGTGGGCAGCAGACTCATGATGAGCGGTTTCCACCTGAGCTCAATATGCGGCCAGATGCACAGGGCGACATCTCCCCGCCGAGGAGGAGTTCTTCAAAAGTTTCGTCAGAATCAGCCCGTCGAGGAACCCGCCATGACGTCAGACAAAATCGTGATGACTGGGGAAGCGCGCTGCCGGATATGATAGCTGCTGATAAAAACAAGCCTCGTCTGCTGGATTGCTCCCGCTCCTGCAGTTCTTCGCACGTCTCAGTTGGCGGCGGCGGGGAATGGCATGCGGCCTCTGATGGAGGGCAAATGGTGATGACGACGAAGCAGGCGAAGAGGGCGAAGGACAACAGCAGCGATCATTCCGATTCCCATAATCGCAAGGCCCAGCGTCATGATTCACCACCGCCAGAGAAGTCGCGGCCGGCGCTGGCCGGGATTGGCAGAGATTGCCGTCGAGATTCTCTACTGCTTAGGAAAGAAGTGTGCCGCCATGGTTCTGTTGACTTGTCGCCGCCCAGGAAAGCCCGCCTTCCTGATTGTCCTCCGGATTCATCGCCAGCTAGGAAGGAGCACCGCCACGGCCGCCAGGACTCTCCAGATCCGTCCTCCTCGCCTTTGAGGAGATCCCACCGCCCTCCTCCTCATTTGATCCCACCATCTGGTGGCAGGAGAGGGCGGGAAGTTTTGCCGGATTTGTCCCCGCCCAGAAAAGGGCGCCGCAGCCATGGTTCCCCCTCTGCCGATTCATCACCAACTGCGATGATTCGCCGAGATTCTCCCGCCGATCTGTTGCCCGTGAGGCGGAGATCCCGCCATGATTCTCCTGATCTCTCCCCGGGAGGCACGAGGATGGCTAGCCGCCATGTTTCGCCAGCTTTGCCGTCCCCGTCCACACAAAGTCACCGCCACCACCGGCACCACCAAGCTTCTTCTCCAGATTCGACGCCACCGCCAAGGAAATCTCTTCGCTCTTCTCCTGTGGCCGTCTGTCCTCCTCCGGCAGGAGCCCGGCTTGATTCTCCAGATCCCGACGTATCTCCGCCCAGAAGAGGTCCGGGGCCTATTTCATCAGACTCGGATCTCTCTCCACCGCCCAGGAAAGCGCGTGGTGATGGCGGCGGTCACAATTCCCCAGCTTTGTCTCCACCACGCAAGGGCCATCACGTGTCATCTCCGCCGACCTCCTCCTTGCCTGTGAGCAGGACTCGGTGCGCTTCTCCTGATCTCTCACCTCGTCACACAAGATGGCGGCACCATGATGTTCGAGATCTGTCACTGCATCAAAAACCTTGCGGCCATGATTCTCCAGATTTGTCTGCTTCTAAAAAGCAAACTCTCCGTGGCAATTCTGCTGACGATGGATCTTCAGATCTGTCGCCATCCAGGAAAGGGCTTGAAGGCAAGTTTTCCCCTCGAAGTAGTACCAGCCCCAGTCCTCAGGATTTACCTTCCCCCAGGAGAACTCGCCGCTGCGATGTTCCTGATCTCTCCCCAGCCAGGAAAACCCGCCACAATTCTCCCGACCTCTCAACAGGTGGCAACAAAGACCATGATAATTCTCTTCGTCGCGGTTCGGCGCCGTCCGGGAAACGCCGTCATGACTGTCCTCCCCCTGATTTCTCTCCACCACTCAGGAAATCCCTGCTCAAGCCTCCTGCTGATGTGTCCCCTCCGCGTAGGAAAACCCGCCACGATTCCCCTGACATGTTCCCCCCACCACGCAGGAAAGCCCGCCATGATTCCCCTGACGGGGCCCCGCTACCGCGCAGGAAAGCCCGCCATGATTCCCCTGACGTGTCATCCCCACAGCACAGGGGGACCCGCCACGATTCCCCTGACATGTCCCCACCGCGCAGGAAAGCCCACCATGATTCCCCTGATGTGTCCCCGCCGTTGAGGGAGAAAGCCCGCCCCCACGATTCCCCTGACATGTCCCCACCACGTAGGACAGCCCGCCAGGTTTCCCCTGACATGTCCCCGCCGCGCAGGAAAGCCCGCCACGATTCCCCTGACGTGTTGCTGCGTTGCGGCGGGAAAGCCCGTCATGATTCTCCGAATTTGTCTCCGCCGAGGAGAGCGCGCCGTGGCTTGTCGGATGATGCTGATGCGGCATTGCCTCCAAGAAGAGGTTGTCCTGACGGCCCGACCCCTGGTATGGCTCCTACAATGAGTGGGCGTGATTCCTCGTCCTCCGGGGTTCGATGGAAACGTAGTGGCTGGGAAATACTCCCTGAACGGGAAAAGGATGGGCAGACTTCCTTGGCTTCGTTAAAGGACAGAGGGGATTTTCTGACTTCAACTTTGTCTGCTGGCATAAGTGGTGCGGACTCACGCGTTTCGGGGAACGTAAAGAGAGGGAGGGGGGAGGGGGGAACATGGGAAGAGGGAGGCGGAAAGAAGATGTCCGATGGTGCAGCAGCAGGTCTCCGCAAGGCCGAGGAAATCAGAGTGGAGATTGAGAAGAAGAAAGCTGAAGATGATCGAAGGTTGAAGTCCTTGGATGCTTCCATCAGTGGGAGAGGAGCGGCAACTGTGTACAGAGATCGAGAGGGGAGGAAGGTTGATGGCACCATAGCTGTAGAAGCGATGGCAGCAGCAAAGAGAGAGTCCGAGTCCAATAAGCCCAAAGGCAGGGTGGGAGAGAAGCCAGAATGGGGAAAGGGGTTGATGCAAAGGAAGGAAATGGAGGCACGGGTTCAAGCTGAAAAAGAGGAACGCAACAAACCCTTTGCCCGCTACAGGGACGATCCGGACTTGGACAAAGCGCTCAAGAACGCAGTTCGCTGGGGTGACCCCATGGCCCATCTTGCTCTGAAGAAGCAGAGGGCAGAGGAGCTGGAGGCTCCGCGCCTGGACTCTGAGTTTGCATCGACCTCAGGTTTCTGTGTTCCTCAGGAAATTCCTCCCCACAGTTGGCTGAAGAGAGGCTTGCCGGCTGCACCCAATCGCTATGGGATAAGGCCTGGGCGACACTGGGATGGCAGGGACAGGAGCACGGGGTTCGAGAAGAATCTGTTCAAAAACCGAAGCGAACGCCTGGCCTTGGAGAAAGAAGCCTACCTCTGGTCAGTTACTGACATGTGAATTCTGACTGTTCTGACTGTTCTGACGTACCCGGCTGACAAAGCCATCCCGTGGGGGGAAGGATAAACTTTGCTTCTCCTGTGTGCACTGTTGTCGGCTGTTGAGCGAGCTGGTGTTTCCCATCAACCCCAGTGTGCTCTTATACATTTCTCCTTGACCTAGGGCTTTTGCTCGTGGCCGAGATTTGCTCCTGGCCGTGCGATGTGTGATCTTCGTGGCGGTGGTTTCAAGTTGCTTTCTTGTACTCTTTTATACATTTCTCCTTGGCCGCGGGCTTTTGCTCCTCGTGGAGATTTGCTCCTGGCCGTGCGGTGTGTGATCTTCATGGCCGTGGTTTCGAGTGTGCTTTCTTGTCCTGTGAATTGAGATGCAACAAGCGGAGTTCGTCGATCCGCGGTCGACGCGTACGATGTGTTTCTGACATTTTACATCGTTGTATGGCAGCATTTGTTTGGAACATGTCAGAGTTTGTCGGAAGCGTTTTTCTTCGAAAGCGTGAAGGTTGACAAGCCACGCAAAAAGAAAAAAAGTGAATGATGCGCGTGAAGTTTGCTCGTGCTTTCGTTTGTTTGTTTTGAACTGTGAAGGTTCAAGCCCCTACTGAGCATTGTGTTTTGTCTGCTTGGGAAGTGTCCCCCCCCCCCCCCCCTTTGTTCCTGTTTTAGTGTAGGAGATGCAAGCAATGGGTGGAAGTTGTTTGTATTTTCTTCCAAAGGGTAAAGGTTCGAGCCGCGACAGGTGGCAGTTCGTCTGTCTTTTCTAGCGTGCGTTCGATTCCATTCGATTCGAAGAAAAAGGAGGGAAAGAAAAGACCGTGGGCCGCAGTACTTAGGACGGTCAGGATGTTGACAGGTTCAGGAAGTTGGGGAATAGGGGCTCCGGATGTTCAGATCGAATGGCAGGTATCGGTGGGTACACGAAACCAAGTAACCATCCAATCTGAACATGCAGTGGCCTCACTCCACCACTTAAAATATGCACAAAAGACAAACAAATTATGGTGGCATATTTTCCCACGTTTTTGCGAAAGGTTCATTCTCATTTTGCACATCTGTTGGGTGGTCGAGTGAGGCCCTAAGCCTTGCCTACAACGGAAACACGACAACGGGACAAAATGGGCAGATGTTTTCCTGTTTTCGTCACGTTTCTGTTTTCAGGTTTGTGACCGCCGTGGCTTCGGGATTTGGGGTTAGCACTCAGTTCCCTTGACAGGTTTCACTTCCGAGAGAGAGAGAGAGAGAGAGAGAGAGAGAGAGAGA